TGTGTGTGTGTGTGTGTGTGTGTGTGTGTGTGTGTGTGTGTGTGTGTATATTAGCTGCACATGTTGTTACTGGGAATATGCAGGAGTTGTAACCCATTTAGGTTTCTCAATTGAAGATAACAGAAGTGTCAACATCAAAGAGAACTAAAACGTCTGACTCATGAATTTTATGTGCACAACATCACACAAACTCAAGTAAATGAAAAAACAAAATAATGGCCAATAACCCTTAGTATTTTTAATGCATTTCAATCCATCTAAATGTGATCATGATACAATCAAACTGTTCCTTGTCTAGCAAGAATTGGCACAGAAAGCTCTCTTATACCCAGGCAAAATTCTGCTTCTTCAGATGAGAGTCTGTGGCGAGCCTGATAAAATTAAAATGAAAATCTGCATGATACTTTCAATCCTTGTGCCCACTCAGGATTTAGCATCCAATACGAAAAAAAAACAACTTGCACAGAAACTCAATTTACTCCTAGTCCTGCAACTTCTACCTTTCATTGTCAGAAATTTCCTACTCTGTATTCTCCTTTGTGGGTCTATATTATCAGTAATAATCCTCCTTTGCTTACAGTACAAGAAACTGCATTTTGCAGCCATAAATAAGCATTAACAGAATATGCAGTTAATATATTGATCTATTTTATGAAAGTAATTACAAATCCTCAATAAGCTGCAACATCTGAAAAAGCATCAATAAATCTGAAGCACATTATGCCTCGATAATTGTTAGATTGTTTTATTAAATGGGGTTGCACGGGCAAACTGTTTCAAAGGATGTATTACAATCTTACAAACACCCACATATTTTTCCACCACATAAGTCATATATCAATCTCTTTGAGTATCAAATCCTCCATGACAGTTTCCGCAGCTGTACTTGAGCTAAATACTAAAGGCCGATTAGGTCGAACAAAAGCTGACTTAATTGCACAATATCCTTCAGGACGATTGAGATGCAGGAAATATAACTAGTAAGATAACAACTCAAATTATTAGTTCTCAGTCTTTGAATTGGAAGAGGAGTACTCCTTTTTGTACAAAATTACACAATAAAATGTGTTCTGAAATACAGACATAGACTTTGCTATGTAGCACACACTTATTAAAAAAAAAACCTAAAACCATCTTCTATTCTGCTGCCCCCACCCCACATAAGCCCTAGTCAAAAAAATACCTTGCAAAACAACTGCATTTCTGAAGGTCTTTCAGTTTTCATGTCATCGGCAAGAAGCAGAGGCCCATCTGTTTTGGCAGTCTGGTGTTTGAATAATCCCACCAGCAAGTCCAAGACGTAAAACTGAGCAAGTCAGCAGTCACTGCCTCTGGCAGTGAAACATTTGTTTATATGGATGGCTGGAATTCAGCAAATTTTATAGTTAAAAAAGTCACCAACCAACAGACAGGTGAATGAAAACGTGATTCTGGAGTTTAATGTATCACCATGCCTGCTAGAACTTAGCTCAGTTTATTCTACTTAAAATGCCAATTCAAAAGTTTCACATTAAGAAATACACATTACTATCGTAGTAATGAATGCCTTGTGTTACAACCGTGAACAAAACATTCACAATACCTGCAGAAAGCCCAGAAGTAGTTCTTTGTTCAAACAGTCTCATGTTTTATAGTGTGGAACAAACCAACTACATATTAACATGTAGCAAAGTAACAGGACTCTCATTCCGTTACTGCTCTGGCAGTATTCACATGATGTCTAAATATGACTCAATCTGTAGCTCCAAACTAATTCACTGTTGCCTACAATACAGTGACATAAATAGCTATATTCCAGATGATCATTAGGTATTTGGGATATTTAACATAACGGTTCATACTTCAAGATCATTTGGCCTGGCACAGGTTGAGATTCTTCATATTTCATTCTTTAAATATTTTGATGTTCCATTGGTTATTGAACAAAAAGGATCTGAATGTGTTTTTGTAGTCTCAATATGCAAGTAATTTTTCTTTCAAATGATGCCTTTCAATAAAATTAATAATACGCATCTTACTGAAGAACAGAAGGTATTACTTTCATTTTTTTTCTCAGAAGCTTTGCTGAAAAACAAAAATAAAGCTGCAACCTACAATTAACAGGCAAGTGCCTCATCAAACAAACTGTCTTCAAGTTGCTTTCTAGTCTTGTAGTTAAGTATCTTTCAAGAGATTTAAAACAATGGACTAATTTGCAATTGAAACAGTCACTAGCATGCATTTCCCAATGCAAATCTGAGTTCCTTTCAGTTAATTCTTACTTTAGAAGGGCAAAATAATGGACTATTTTGAAGCTAGCCAAGCTATAAGTACAAAATAATTTTAAGGGGCGCACGTTAAGCACCTAACTATAAACCTGCAAGGAAAGAATTCTGCAGCAACCATTATCCAATGTTATTCACCATTAAAAGTTCTCTATTACGCTTGACAAGCAGCCATTCTACTTCTACAGTGCCTACTTCAGTCACTGTTCACAGTTAAGTCATTTTTTGTGGTATTTCGATTCCACAGAGGTGTTTTTGCAAAAGACTTTGTTCCATTTGGTGACAAACAATAAACATGTGGAAACAAGAGCACAAACACAGTCTTCTTCAGAGGCATCACTTCCTTCATCCCACACTGGACCTGGGCCAACTCCTTTGGTTTCACCAATTTAATAGCATACACACTGGCTAGAAATTGATCACTGTATGCTAGTTCAGCCATTTCGTTTCTTCGTTTGACTTGATCTGAACTTCTGCATTAGAACGAGGCTTTGTTTTCATTCCAAGAATAATCATTCATCCATGATCAAGGCCACATTGATATGAGACAGATCTATCATGTGCCTGCGAAATGTACAAGGGAAAAGTAATGTGAGACATTCCAAAGATTTCCAGGGTTAGAAAAAGAAGCATGTAAAACTTTTAGTTAAGTTGTACCTTTAACATAAAGTATTGCACGGTAAGTCACAAACAGACAGGTTAGATACTGAACAGAAATATCGATGTTTTTAAGACAAGACCAAACACCGTCAAACAGAGAGGTTTCACATTAACTACTGAAGATCAAGATAAAAGGTGATACAAGGAATTAGGTGCAAGGGAATGACGACTGAAAGCTCTGCGCTAATGATGGAATGGAGATAGGGAAAGTCTAGCAGTACTAACTAAAACTATACAACAGATTTTATTCAGTTGCAGGATGTGGTATCAGGACTTTATTACCAAGGAAGCATTTTTGAGATGTAAATGGGAAGCAGTGAAACATGACATGGGGCTAACAATCCCAAACTGCAATCTAATATTTTGGGTACATGGGTTCAAATCCCACCAAGTTGGATGGTGAAATTGGAATTAAATAAAAAAATCTGGACGAAAAAGCTAGCCCAGTGGCAAGCATGTAATCACTGCTGATCTTATAAAAACCCTGATTCACTGGTGTCCTTTCAGAAATGTGCCATCCTTACCTGGTCTGGCCTACATGTGACTCCAGATCCACAGCAATGTGGTTGACTCTGACACCCAGAGGGCAATTAGAAATGAGCAATAAATGACGTAGCCACTGACACCCACAACCCATTAATTAAAAATATTTTAAGATGATAAGAAACAGGAGCAGAAGGTAACCATTCAGCACCCCCAAAATCTGCTACGCCAATCAATTACGTCATGGCTAATCTGATTGTAGACTTAACCCTCAACTCATTTATACAGCAAAAATCTAACTCTGAATTCAATTCCCCGAACCCACTGCTTTCTGGGGAGACAAGATTAACAACCCTCAAAGAAGAAATTCCTCATCTCAGTCTTAAATGCGAGATCCTTTATTTTTAAACAGTCCCCTCGTTTGAGGTTAGAAAGATCGTTTCAGCAATCAGTTGTGAACACCAACTTTCAGCAAAGCGGCACGACCAATTCTCCCTTGTTTCAATAAACTCCCGATGTAGAAGGACATCAATTTAACTGGGACAAAGTTGCAGTACTAGGACAAGCAAGACAAAGACAAGCACAAGAGCTCCTGGAGGCTTGGTTTTCAACCACCGATGCAATTAACGAACATGTTGAAGTAGACTCCATCTACATACTACGGTACAAAACCAGAAACAAGACTGCCCATCACGACAGATCGGACCATATAAATTCAGAGTGGCTCAGAACAACAGCGCTTCAACGGAGGCTACACAGCACTGACGATGTCACCTAGAAGGGAGATGAAACGTTTGCATGAAATCCAGTCAGCTCGGCAAACCAACCAACAACTCCAATGATGCTGCCAAACCAGCTGAGTTTGCCCAGCAATATTTGATTTTGTTTCTGATTTTCAGTATCTGTAGTTCTTTTTCTTTCCCCTAATTAATTTAACTTCTTTCTGCTCAAATTTTCCTCATAAAACAATCCTTTCACCTCAGAAATTGAATTGCTGAACTGCTCTCCGTGCAGGAACATACCTCCTTACATAAAGGAACCAAAACTGTATGTAGTATTCTTGGTGTGGTCTCATCGATACCCTCTATAGTTGCAGTAAAACCTTCCTACTGTCATACTCTATCCCACTTGTAATAAAGGTCAATATTCCATTTGTATGTTAATTTTTATGATTTATGTACAAGGACACACAAATATCGCTGTCTGAGTATTCTGTAGTCCCTCTCCATTTAAATAATAACTTGCTTTTCTATTCTTCCTGCCTAAATGGACCACCTCATATTTTCTCACATTATACTCCATCTGTCAAATGTCTATCCACACACTTAACCTATTGATATCTCCTTTGCAGCTTCCTCACAATTTGCTTTCGGCCTATCTTTGTATTATCAGCAAATATGCCTACATTAAAAATGGTCCTTTCATTGAAGACATTCATACAGATTGTAAAAGAGCAGAGACCCCAGCACTCGTCACTGTATCTCTCCACTATTCAGTCTGCCAAACAGAAAATTAGCCATTTATGCCAACTATTTTCTATGAATTAACCAATTCTCTATCATGCTAAAATATCATCCAAACACCATGAGCTATGTCCAGAAACCTCTCAAGTGGCACATCATAAATCTAAATACACATCAACTGGTACCCCTTTACCAAACCCACTTGTTACATCTTCGAAAGATTCTGATAAGTTTCTTAAACATGATTTTCCATTCACAAAATCATGTTAACCCTGCCTGATTGCATTCTGAATTTTAAATGACTTGCTACTGCCTCCTTAATAACAGGTATGTTTTAAGATGTGAAGGAGGTAGGAAAAATGTAAAGATAGAATGTAGCAAAATGATGGAAATTTTTCAAATAAATGAGCAATTAAGTTCCAATAAGGAGTCAGAGGATGAATGAGTGCAATGTTGCATGGAATGAATGATGAAACTTGGTAAGCTCCAGTTTCCAATGCTAGCTATAAACATGTTGGAAAAATCAGGTTTGAAGGGGATAAAAGTTTCCAACTAGTGCTCATTTTAACTCGTGGGAAAAGCCCAATGCCAGGTTTCTTGCCCAGATGTCATTCAAGAAGCCTGCAGAAGTTTAACAGGTGCAATTCATTCATACCACACTGGCTGGCGAGGAAGGATACAAAGAGACTACTCGACGACAAAAAGAAATGGCAAGCTGTGGAGGTATGTTCAGCCGTGTTTAGCAAGTTTGAGGGAAATCAGAATATCCTGTAACCAGCATTTGGAGCCTCCACTTGTTCCTGGGCAATTTGCACAATCAGAGCAACAGGGGCAGTTTCAGACAATTGTCATTAAAAATGGCTCAGAGTGCTTTGTAAGTGGTAGGTCTTGGTTACTACCTATTAATCAGGTGTTCGTAAAATTTAGGCTAAAGGCATAAAAATGCAATGTGGTACGGGACTGGCTCAGGTAGAGGAATTTGAAATCCTCACTTCTGTGTTGATTTTAATGTCAGGCATCAAAATAGTATAGTGCTTGCTATTGAGAGTTTCTTATGGAATAACACCCAGAAACAGAACAAAAGAATTGAAGAATAAAAGCAGAAAACGTTGGAGAAACTCAGCTTGTCAGGCAACATCTAAGGGGGAGGGAGGTGGAGAGAGAGCAAGAGAAAGAGAGAGCAAGAGAAAGAGAGAGCAAGAGAAGAGAGAGCGCGAGCGACAGTTAATATATCAATCCAATAAGGAAATATTGAACTCAAAATGTCAACTTTGTCTCACGCTTCACAGATGTTACTTGATCTGTTTAATTTCTCCAGCACCTTTACTTTATTTCAGATCTCCAGTATCTGCAGTACTTTACTCTTTTGATGTAAATTGAGGAAGTGAGGGTGGAGAAAAATTACATCCAAACACACATTTTATATAAATAGAAAATCTGTTTCACTTGAGTTACCCTTCTGATTGCTGAACTTGATTGAATTTTACCATACGCATCTTCTGAAATTTTCCCTAAGTTTAAAAAAAGACATTTACCGATGGAATTTCTGTTGAAACGCTGAAGCATGTGCAGGCTCCTTGAATTTTGCAACAGCCTTTCGTTGTTCTCGCATCATCTTGAAGTCCTGTAATAACATTTCAAAAAGTCATCAGGAAGATGTTTTGCAGGGTGATTTTGTAAAATGTGTGGTGGAAGTAGATTGAACAGTAATTTTAAAAAGAAAATTGTACGAATGCTTGCAGAATTGCTAACTGAACAGCTGAACCAAAGAACACAGGCATGATCTTCTGTGTTGTATCCATATTTGATTCTATAATACATCAATTCATATTCACTTCTAAGATAAAGGACAGCACGACAATACAGTCAGAGAATTGTAGAGTTGTACAGCATGATCCAACTCGTCCACGCTAACAAGACAGCCTAAATTAATTTAGTCAAATTTGCCAGCATTTGGCCATAACCCGCTAAACCCTTCCTTGTCATGTACCTATCCAGATGCTTTTTAAATGCTGTAATTGTACCAGCCTCCACTTCCTCTGACAGCTCATTCCACACATGTGCCACCCTCTGCGTGAAAAAGTTACTCCTCACATCCCTTTTAAATCTTTCCCCTCCCAACTTAAACTTATAACCTCTAGTTTTGGACTCCCCTACCCTTGGAAAAAGACCTTGGCTATTCACCCTACCCATGCCCCTCATGATTTAATAAACCTCTATAAGGTCACTCATCAGCCTCTGATGCTCCAGGGAAAATAACCCCAATCAATTCAGCCTCTCCCTATAGGTCAAATCCTTCAACCCCAACAATATCCTTGTAACTCTTTTCTAATCACTTTCAAGTTTAATAACATCTTTCCTATAGCAGGGAGACTAGAACTTAAGGCAGTATTCTAATAGTGGCCTAACCAATGTCCTGTACAGCCACAACAGGACATCTCAAACTCCAATACTCAATGTATTGACCAATAAAGACAAGCAAATGAAAAGCCTTCTTCACTAACCTGTCTACCTGCAACTCCACTTTCAAGGAACTATGAAGCTGTACTCCAAGGTCTCTTTGTTCAGCAACACTCCCCAGGACCTTCCATTAAGCATATAAGTCCTGCCCTGATTTGCCTTTCCAAAACGTAGCACCTCACATTTATCTGAATTAAACTCCATCTGCCACTCCTCGGCCCACTGGCCCATCTGATCAAGATTCTGCTGTACTCTGAGGTAACCTTCTTTGCTGTCCACTACACCCCCAATTTTGGTGTCATTTACAAACTTAGTAACCATACCTTCTATGTTCACATCCAAATTATTTATATAATGATGAAAAGCAGTAGACCCAGCACCGATCCTTGTGGCATGCCACCGGTCACAGGCCTCCAGTCTGAAAAGCAACCCTCCACCACCACCCTGTCTTCTACCTTCAAGCCAGTTCTGTATCCAAATGGCTAGTTTTCCCTGTATTCCATGTGATCTAACCTTGCTAGCCAGTCAAGGGTTATGGGGAGAAGGTAGAAGAATGGGGTTGGGACGCATATCACCCATAATCAAATGGCGGAGCAGACTCAATAGGCCAAAATGCCCAATTCTGCTGCTATATCTGATGGTCTTATGGACATTACCATCTCTCAAAATGCCTTGCAGCGTTATACAGATGAGGAAGTAGCCCTGTAGTTCTTTGACGGACTTCAGGCCTCAATAAGACTGAAGGTAACCAAGTTAAACATCGCCAAGAAAATTCCTTGCTGATTGCTATCAACACGAAACCCTTTCCTCCATATTGAACACTAAAAAGCAGCAGAACTGAGGATGATAAGGACATAGAATATGCTTTGGGTGGAGAACTTTAGTCATTCACCAAGAGTGGCTTGGTTGCACCACCACTGACTGAGCTAGATGAAGCCTAAAGGACGGAGTTGCTAACCTGTGGCAGGGAAGTTTGACCTCAGCTTCAAATGACATATCACAAATGCATTTTGCAATGGTAGCATTGGTATAAATGATCACTGCACAGACCTAAAGGAGTTTCAAAATCCATCATCACATTGACAATACTCTTCATTGTAACAATACCACCATGCCAAGGCACAGAATTATTAACAGTGCAGGAGGTGCCAGTTGGTCCATCTTTTCTGCACTAGCTCCATGAATGAGCACTATGATGACTAGTGCCATACTTATCCCAATTCCCTGCAACCCTGCACATTATTACTATTCAAATAATCATCTCCTGCTCTTTCAAATGTCTGGAGTGAACCTTCCTCCACCCCACTTGTAGACTCGCATCTCAGTTGGAGCAGCACTTGCAAAGGAACAGAATGAATCTGGGGGTGAATGGTGGCAGCAGAGCTTCGAGATAAAGGCGAGTCAGAGCAGCAGTGGGAGAAGAGTGGAATGAACCTTTACTGATTCCAAATGCAGAGCTCCTGAGGTGACATCATAGTTCAAAAAGTTACATGGGAAAGAGGATTGGCTGCTTGAGAACTAACTTTAAAAACTGAGTGAACAGGATCAGAAGGGAGACACAGGGTAAAGACATTATTTCTGTGGTTTCGTAGTTTAGGAATAGAGAGAGAGAGAGAGAGAGACAGACAGACAGAGAGAGAGAGGGAAATCTGATTTGATGAGTAGTGGGTAAGGTAATTTGTTCCTAGTTTATTATTTGCAGTTGGACAAAGTTCACAATGGCAGGAGAATTTGGTCCTACGGCATACTCCTCCTGCAATGAGTGGGAATCAGGGTTAATTCCAACGTCCACGGTGACCATGTATGCAGGAAATGTGTTCAGCTACATCAGTTTGCAGTTGACACAAAAATTGGTGTTGTTGTTGGTAATGGGGAGGATGGCCTCAGACTGCAGTCTGCTATTGACCAGCTGGTAAACTGGACACAGCAATAGCAGATGGAATTTATTCCTAATATGTGCAAGGTGATGTATTTTGGGAGATATAATAAGGGAAGGATATACACAATGAATGACCGGCCGCTCAGGGATACTGAAGAACAAAAGGGACGTTGGTGTACAGGTCCTCAGATTCCTGAAGGTGTTAGTGCAAGTAGACAGGATAGTGAAGGTGACATACACCTTCCTCAGCCACGGCATAAAATAAAGGAAGTTTTGTTACAACTTTATGAAGGTAGTTTGGCCACAGACTGATATACTGTGTGTTGCTCTGGTCACCACACTATCGGAAGAACACAACTGCACTAGAGAGAGTGCAGAAAAGATTCACCAAGATGTTTCCTGGGATGAAAAATCTCAGCTATGAGGAGACTGGATAGGCTGGACTTGTTTTCCTAGAAGCAGAGGAGGCTGAGAGGGGATCTGATGGAGGTATGCAAAATTATGAGAGGCATAGGTAGAGTACATCGTGAGAATCTTTTCCTTGTGGCAGACGTGTCTAAAAGCAGAGGACATAAGTTTAAGGTGAAGAGTAAGTGATTTAAAGGAATCATAGAATTCCTACAGTGTAGAAACAGGCCATTCAGCCCATCAGGTCTGCACCAACCCTCTGAAGAACATCCCACCTACACCCACCCCTCTACCCTATCCCCATAACCCTGCATTTCCCATGGCCAATCCACCTAACTTGCGCACCTCTGGACACTATGGGCAATTTAGCATGGTCATTCCACCTAACCTGCACATCTTTGGACTGTAGGAGGAAATGCACGCAGACATGGGGCAAACATGCAAACTCCACACAGTCAGTCACCCAAGGCTGGAATCGAACCCAAGTCATTGGTGCTGAGAGGCAGCAGTGCTAACCACTGAGCCACTGTGCCGCAAAGTGATCTGAGAAATTCTTTTCCCCCCACTCAGAGGGTGGTAAGCATATGGAATATGCTGCCTGAGTGAGTCATGGAGGCAGGTACTCTTGCAACATTTAAGAAGTATCCAGATGAGCACTTAAAATTCCAGGACAGAATAGGTATGGACTAAATGCAGGTAATTGGGATCAGTGTAGTTTGGTATTTATTTGTCGGCATAAGGCTGATGGGGTTGTTTCTAAGTTGTATGACTCAATGACAATGCATTTACGACCCCGAGAGCAACACATTTGCTTCTATTGCAAATTATTTTTTAAAGGTTTATTCATGAATGTGGGCTTCGTCTAATTGTCCAGAGGGTAGTTAATAGCCAACCATATTGCTGAGGGTCTAGAGACACATTTAGGCCAGACCAGTTAAGGATGGCAAATTTCTTTTCCTAAAGGATATTTGTGAACCAGATAGGTTTTTCCAATCATCATGGTCATCATTGGATTCTTAATGCCAGATATTTTATAGAATTCCAATTCAACCAACTGTCATGGCAGGATTTGAACTTGGGTCTGCAGAATATTACCAGTATCACTAGCGATAATACCTGTAGTTCATTGCCTAACCTAAAACTTTCAAATTTGTGCCCCCTCATTTTTAATGCTTCTATGTGTAGGAATAGTTTCTCTCTACATTGAATCTGCCTCTCACGGCTTTCAAAACTCGTATCGGATCTCACTGTTGCTTTCTCCTACCTGAGAAAAACAGCCCAAACTATCTTCATAACTGACATTTCTCATCCAGGAACCATTCCTGTAAACCTCTTCTGCACTGTCTCCAAGTGCATTCATATCTTGTACCAACATGAGAAAGCACAAAAATAGGCAGAAAGGCAAGTTGCCATAGGGTTACCAACAGTTTATAGAGAGAGATTTACGGGTGAAATAAGTGGGTGAAAAGTTGCTAAATGGAGTATAATGCAGGAAAGTATGAAATTGTTCACTTTGGAAAAGGGAGCAGAAAAACAATATTATTTTAAATGGAGAAAACTGCTGAAAGTTGAACACAAAGCTCGCACACAGGTGCAGTGGATAATCAGGAAAGCTAATGGAATGTTGGTTCTTATTTCAAGGCGGTTCAAGAGTAGAGAAATCTTACTGCAACTGTGCAAGGTGCTGGTGAGACCACATCTGGAGTATCTTGAGCAGTTTTGGTCCCGTAATTGAAGGGAAGATTATTTCATTGGAGGCAATTCAGAGAAGGTTCATAAGGATGATCCATGGAATGGAGGGACTGACATGAGCAAACGATAAACAGGTTGGAACTCATTGGAGTTTAGAAGAAGGAGGTAATCTCATTGAAGCCCTG